TTCACCGATTGGATATTATCAATTTCATTACGATCCTATCAAATTCAGTAGATTTTTGTAAGAATATTGTCGTAAACCAAGTGATAGAATCACATTTGAATCTACAGTATTTCGATCCGATTGGATCATACAGCTAAATGCCATGAACACTGATCTACTTAAAACTGAGACTATGAAATTACTTAACTTACTAAGTTCAAATAGTCCTATAGTCGAATGTGTTTAGATACTATTACTATTATTCATCCAAAAAGTCAGTGTGTGTGACAATTTTTTGAATGATTCGAGAACAAAATGGAATATAAATCTGCGATTTTTACCATTCGCAAGAATGATATAACGAATATCTATCTGTGCAAGATCTACTAGCTTCCATGGATTCTTTCATAGCTGCTTTGAAACTAGCACTTTTTTTTGCTGCCATTTTTTTATCAAATTTCATAAAAATTTTAAGTGAAACTAGACACAAATGTAGCAGAAACCACTCTGTATTCCTACAAAACATAATCATGTTGTTGAAAAATCTCGTTCAAGAAAAGATCGAAAGAACGATTCAAAAATTTTATCGTGGATATAAGGTGGTTTTGTCGACACTTGTCTATAATTTCAGTTGAAATTCTTGCGAAATTTGATGGAAAAACACAGCAAAAAGATGTCAGTTTCAAAACTGATCATGAAAGTACATTAAGTACTCAGTGAGTCTTACACTAATAGATACTCTACTTGTTGCTCGTTCAAATAGTGAAAACTGTCGATCTCTATCTCTTTTGTTCTCGTGTTATTCAAAAAATAGCTAAACGCACCGACTTTTTATACGGATAATATATTTTGTTTGATCTCCAATGTCATGATCATTGAATTATTTGTTATTGTCATCAATAAGATTTCCTTCAAATTTCTAATAACTACCGAATCCTATACCCTGGTCGGACGATACGGTTACTTTACGGTTACTTTACGGACCGTATTACGGCCGTATGAGTGGATGCAGTTTTACAGACCGTACTACAGTGACTTTTTCACCGTATACGGCACCGTATTACTGCATCCACTCATACGGGGTAATACGGACTATGTACGGCCGTAAACTAGCCGTTTTTTCATCGTTTACTGTCCGAAAACGACCCCGTAACGGGTACCCGTTTTGATCGACCCGGGTAGAATACGATCGAATAACTTTCAGATTTATCGAACTGCATTTTTTTTTCATAATAAGTCTTTACATTACTGAAAAAATCAACTCGAAGGTTCTTTATTAGTCAAAGAAAACAATTTCGATGATGTTATATCAATTGATTTATTTGTTTTTCTTGTCATTTTCATTTTAGTTAAAAACATTAAATTTGCTTCATCAAGATCATTCACTATTAACTACTGATCAATGGAATCTTCTATCTAATTTAATTCATTCATATGATGAACATAATGCTCTAACAGTTGCAACAAATTTTGCGAAAGATTTTAATAGTTTACATCCAAAATTACGTTACAAAATTGATTCAAACAAAATAATTGAAATTGCTACAATTTTTCTTCAAGCAACAGAACCATTTATTCAATCAAATCATCATTTTGCTTCATTATCTTATCATGATCGTTCGATTGTCTTATGTGGTGCTGTCGATAATGTCAGTTGTCTTGGTGGAGCTTTTCTACTACGTCAATCTGAACTTATTACAAATTCAGCTTTTTGTCATGGTATAGAAATTACTTATGGTACTATTCCATATAATCTAAGTTTAAATTTAATTTCATCATTGGATCAAGATGTTGATCTTGTTAAATTATCATTATCAATATTTGCATTTTGCACGAATAGTTGTACTTTATTTAATGAAAAAAATAGTTCACTTATGTATCTAACAGATATAAAATCATTCTTAAGTATACAAAATATGTATGCTGAAGTTGTATGGAAGTATTTACTTTACAAATATTCATTTGAGCAATCTGTCATACGTTTTAGTCAACTTGTCAAAAATATGATTACTGCTGTTACGCTTAGAACTCATCTACAAACTGTTAGAAATCATACTGATATCGTTGAAAGAATTATTCAACGTATTGAACATGACCAACTAGTACATTGATGATAACTATATGTGCTCTTTTGTTTCATATTTTTTGATAACATGAATAAATGAAAAGAAAATGCATTGAACTAGAGGAAAGTCATCTTATCGATATATTTCTATTTTATGTGTAGATAACTTTAAAGTAAATAAGCAAGTACCTATAGAATATGAAAGGCATATTATCGTTATAATATATTGAATTAAGGTTTTTTTATTGTAAAATGTAATATTCTTCTTAACCTGAATATGATACGATATGTGTTAAGATAATAGAATAACAAATTGATGTTTATCATGAATATGATAAACATTCAATATTTATATAATCACATACGGTAGTGAAAAAAGTTCGCGCAATAGTAGTCTAAAATTTCATCCTCATTGTTTTTATTTCTGATGTTGCCCTATTTTAGTAGAGAAAAGTGTTATGTATCAAATTACCGACACGAACTTTCACGTATGTCTATTATTGGAAAATCTTAAATGAATTTTTTCATAATTTCTGTTTTAAAATGGAAAAACTGTATATATTGCTCATATGAGAAAAGTCGTTTGTTATTAGATTTTACTGCAACACAAATTCATGATGAATTACCTACTGCTTATAGGGTAAGGTTATGTATTATTTCGTACACGTACTGATTGGGTTTATCAATTTTTAAGAGGATGTGAGTCATTTGGAAGATGTTTCTTGAAGTGGCCGTCCAATAACTGTCATTCCTAAATAAAATATTAATGCTAATAAAGATCTAGTGAATAATGATTCACATATTAATATTGATAATATTGTCACTATTTTAGATATAGTTATCATGTAAACTATCATGATGAATGCTTGAAGATAATAGTATAAAATTTACATTAGAAAGAAACATGATCAACAACAAATAGCATAAATTTGAGCTATAAAAATTCAAAATCACATATGCGAGATATTGTTTTCAATCTTAATTAACCTCAAGAGAAAAAAAACGATATCGAACTTCAATTATTATTATTCAGCAATGTAGATTTCATCTTAGTTTGATAGACTATGGACACAGGAAAAGGTACTATAGCATAATATTCATTGAAAAAATCTCAGAGTATAACTAATGTTTGAACAGCTTGAAAAAAAAGAAAGATAGAGATCAGCGTTGTGTTATCCTTCCTATAGTCACATATTTTCAAATGGTTTTTTTTCAAAAGTAAATTTCTCAGAAAAAAAATCATGCTAAATTCAAAATATCATATATTGATTAATTCATGTTTTCAATTGAATATGTAGATAGTCCGAAGTGTTTTCTCAATAATGAAAGACAACCAAAAGTTTGACTTGTAAAGGTTTTAATCAGAGAAATATAATCTTATATTATACGTCAAAGCAAACAAAAATAGATAGTACAAGATCAGAACAATGAAGGATATACAGAATAGCGAAGCAATAACAAGAAATGTACTTGTATACATCATATGCAGTTTCGTCATGGAACCCGGATCATTTGAACTGTAGTAAACACGTAAAAAATTATTCACTTTCGAACTGCACATAAGACTTTGGTTCAGGAAGTGTTCCACATATATAGATGATGCTATTTATCGCCGTCTGTGTCTTATCACAAGGCAAGAGCATGCAAAAGATTCTCGATGAAAAGTTTCTATTAGTTCAAATAAGCCATTTTTGTGTCTTTATTGCCACTCACCAATGGTGATCTTGAAAATACGACTTGGGCTCCAAAAACAAATCATACTAGAGTGTCTATTTCTCTTTATTACTTTGAATGATAACAATAGGAATCTTCAAAAAAGTGGTTGAATATCTACTCTCTTTCAAGTGCATTTCTTGCTATTCATTCAATGAATCATCAGATTCTCACTGCTTATTGTAACCTGATGTGAAGATTTTTAGAAAAACCGATTATTTGAATATATCCATAATTGAAAAAAAAATTGCTTCTTTTTTTGATACTGTGAGACGCGTTTTTCCTCATCTAACATGTTGAAGATTATTGCCTAGATGCAAATTTTCTTTTTAATTTCCTACTATTTCTTTTGACAATACTTTCTCGTAACAAGTCGATAGTGATTTTTTGAAACGGTTGCTTGAATGCTAAAATATGAGCATGATTATGATGAGAGTTATCTGTATACAAGGAAGATTTTATTTGAAGAAGAGTGTAAAGTGTTTGACACATTTTCTTTCGGGTAGGTGTTGTTTTGACTTTTGCCTGTTATTTATAGAACATATTCTCTCATTGCCAAATTTGAAACGTTCAATTCTTTGTCAAAGTCAATTTATATAAATATTCAATTAAGTTTTTCAGCTAGCAAACAAGCAAAAAGAGTCAAAACCAAGAAAATCTTCGCTTTAATAAAGAGATAACATCATTACAGACAAGTCTAATGTCATTTGTTTCTGTTCTACTTTTTTTTTACAGATACATACTTAGAGGTATTGCATCAGTGTGAATTTTTGTACTTCGACGTTCTTTCTTCACCGGTCGTCGTAAAGAGAAAAAAAAAACATCCATTTATTTTCCTTGCTACCATTTTTCCTGATGTTTTATTGACTTGTTAGAGATAGACATGTCTTGTTAACTCGTGTTACTTAGAGAACAAGAAGGAAATCATTTTAGTTTGTTACTATTTCTTGTCTAGATTTAAGTCATGCAAAAGTCAAATGTAATATTGTCTGAATGCAAAATTTGTGGGGTTCCTGCCTTTCATTCGCACTATGGTGTTACAGCGTGTGATTCATGTAAAATGTTTTTCAAACGGAATGCTGAAATTCGAAAGGTTACTTAAAATGAAAACTAAGATTTTTTTTCTCTAAATTAACTTGTTTAGAAAACATTGAAATGTCATTTTGATGGTCAATGTGAAGTGAATATTAACAATCGTCATGTATGTTCTGCATGCAGATTAGACAAATGTTTTAAAGTTGGAATGTGTGTTGAAATGCTTCGATCATCTCAATCAAAGAGGAAGAAAAAAAATACTGCATCATTAGCATTAGTTCCAGTAGTAAATCGAAAAAATCAACGGCCACAAAAGGTAACATATTTATATTATTCTTGCTTTTAATTCGAATTCAGTGAGGCATATTAAGAGAAATTTTCTAATTGTTATACGCACAATAAAAGGCTTTTTTTAATCCCTGAGAAGAAAATAAGTTTGATAAATATGTTATTAAATATACACGTCGTGGAAGTGTCATACTGTTCTTTATTCTAGTGAAAAATATTCGAAGAACTTTTTTTCTGTTATCAACGAGTGGGTAGAAAATTCTAAAACAAAATGTTCGCTTATTTTTCTCTAACTCAAAAGCATTCTAGATAAATGCGAAAAGGTGGATAGGGATCAGAATTTAATGCTCTTTCCGAAGATGAGTTCAGAAATTCTGTGTCTATTTTTGTAAGCGAGAAGCAAGAAAATCTTTGCAGGACATAAAATAAAAGTGTCTAGACAAAATGGTTGAGTTGAAGCTTTTGGAAAATATTTGCTTTATTTTTGGCCTACGTAAAAGTATTGTAGACGAATTACAACTACAGACAATAGTCAAAATTTTGTGCTCTTTCTGAACATGGACTCAAAAATTTTGTATTTATTTCTGTACGAGAATAGTGAGAAAATCTACGAACATGCAGGAAAACTGGATTGGTTGATGAACACATTAGCATTTGCTTCTCTTGTGAGTCCTCAGTGAAGATGCTAAAAACCGTTGAATAAAGCGGTTTTGTAGAGCAGACAGTTCTCTAAAAATTGTGATGTTGAATTTCAATATAGCTTTTACACAAGTAAAACTATAAGCATTTTCTGAGAAGCGATTTCTACGTAAGATGGATTTCGGTTAAAAAATTCATTTTTCAAAAGCAAAAGTAATAAAAAAGCGAAAATTTAGATGCTTTGTAAGAAAATAAAAAGAAACTGCAATAGGGTATTATGAAGGGCAGAATTTGCTCTACAATCTGATATATGAACCAAAGTTACAACATTAAGTTTCGAATTGAAAGAGTGAAGATACAAAAATGTACAAAACATATTTTTGTCCAAACTAACTTTTAAAGATTCTGATCCTTATCCACATTTTCGCATTCATCTAGAATACTTTTGAGATGATGAAAAATGAACAAACAATTTAGCTCAAAACTTTCGACCCACCCATTATGCAGCATAAAAAGAATTAGTGTGTGACAAAAGTTTATCCATTACATGAACTGGTTTATCTTGCATAAAATATAGAAAGCAGAAAAACCTGACGACTGAAAAAACCAACTCGAAAATTCTTTATTAGACAAAGAAAACAATTTCGATGACGTTATATCGATTGATTTATTTGTTTTTCTTGTCATTTTCATTTTAGTTAAAAACATTAAATTTGCTTCATCAAGATCATTCACTATTAACTACTGATCAATGGAATCTTCTATCTAATTTAATTCATTCATATGATGAACATAATGCTCTAACAGTTGCAACAAATTTTGCGAAAGATTTTAATAGTTTACATCCAAAATTACGTTACAAAATTGATTCAAACAAAATAATTGAAATTGCTACAATTTTTCTTCAAGCAACAGAACCATTTATTCAATCAAATCATCATTTTGCTTCATTATCTTATCATGATCGTTCGATTGTCTTATGTGGTGCTGTCGATAATGTCAGTTGTCTTGGTGGAGCTTTTCTACTACGTCAATCTGAACTTATTACAAATTCAGCTTTTTGTCATGGTATAGAAATTACTTATGGTACTATTCCATATAATCTAAGTTTAAATTTAATTTCATCATTGGATCAAGATGTTGATCTTGTTAAATTATCATTATCAATATTTGCATTTTGCACGAATAGTTGTACTTTATTTAATGAAAAAAATAGTTCACTTATGTATCTAACAGATATAAAATCATTCTTAAGTATACAAAATATGTATGCTGAAGTTGTATGGAAGTATTTACTTTACAAATATTCATTTGAGCAATCTGTCATACGTTTTAGTCAACTTGTCAAAAATATGATTACTGCTGTTACGCTTAGAACTCATCTACAAACTGTTAGAAATCATACTGATATCGTTGAAAGAATTATTCAACGTATTGAACATGACCAACTAGTACATTGATGATAACTATATGTGCTCTTTTGTTTCATATTTTTTGATAACATGAATAAATGAAAAGAAAATGCATTGAACTAGAGGAAAGTCATCTTATCGATATATTTCTATTTTATGTGTAGATAACTTTAAAGTAAATAAACCAGCACCTATAGAATATGAAAGAAATATTGTCTGTTCTTCTTAATCTGAATATGATATGATAAAGGGTGTTTCATAAGTAACGGCCCCATTTTTAAAAGTCTTGCTCCATACAAATGGGGCCGTTATTTATAAAACATCCTTTATATTATGATAGAGCTCGAAATTCTCTAGCACCCTGTATAGTTATCTTTTAACCTACTTGTGTTTGTTGTAAACAAAAGTTGAATACATTAGATATACCCTCAGTTGACAGGAAATCAAATTGACTACTTTTAGAAACTTTGAAATTATTATTATTATTATTATCGAAATAAATATTTACAGAAGTCAATACATATTCTGATAGAGCTTGAAATTCTCTATCATTCTATATATTTCTGTCTTGCTTTGCACTTACTTACTGAAGGATAAATCGAATATTACAGAAACACCCTTTGGCAAACTTTCAAAATTGAATTTCTCTATCTCTTTCACTTTTATTTTAGGTTCATTGCCAATATAGAAACAACTTTTTCGCCAACTAATTATATATTCTGATAGCACTTGAAATTCTCTATCGTCCTAGACTTCTGAAAATAAAAACGAAAGAGATAGTAAAAAATGCAGTCTTTTATAGTTTATCAAGGAGGGTGCCTCTGTAATATTTGAGTTATCCTTTAGTAAGTAAACGCAAGGCAAGACAGAAATGTGTAGGATGATAGAGAATTTCAAGCTCTATCAGAATATCTATTTACTTTTGTAATTATGTATTTCGATAATAATAATAATAATAATAATAATTTCAAAGTTTCTAAAAGTAGTCGATTTGATTTCCTGTCAACTGAGGTTATATCTAATGTATTCAACTTTTGTTTACAACAAACACAAGTAGGATAAAAGATAACTATACAGGGTGCTAGAGAATTTCGAGCTCTATCAGAATATAAAGGATGTTTTATAAATAACGGCCCCATTTGTATGGAGCAAGACTTTTAAAAATGGGGCCGTTACTTATGAAACATCCTTTATACTTTAAGTTAATAGAATAACAAATTGATAATAATCATGAATATAATAAACATTTAATATGTATATAATTATTTAATCTATTTATTTCAAATTAATTACAAAACGAAATTAAGATAACAAATGACATTGAAATTCAATTATCATCATTGTAGATCCCATCTTNTGTTGTTTATTTTTTACTATTTTATATCTTTCTTTGTGCTAGAAATCTGTATCATAAGTTGGTAGAAATGATAAGTCTAAAATTCGTTTTACATTTAAAATATTGACAGTAAGCAAAAATATTATATTTGCTGATGAATTTTGCTATGTTTTATAAAATAATTATAGTGATAATAAGATCTTATTATGCATTGAATTCGAAGGTATATTTAATATCGAACTAATTAGAAGTATTCTCTTCTTCGGACGAATGAAGCTTGAATTGATACCGATCATTGAAGGAAGCTCATCATACATGCAGTCAGAGTGTGAGTGAGTGCGGATGTGTGGGTGTGAGTATGGATATGTAGACAGATAGTACCCACACGCACACTCACATCCTCCAAATAATTTTTGATAACGTTTCTCTTATGAATATAAATTATGAACACTCCATTATGACTGGGAAAAATATCATCCAATTCGGTCAAAATATGGTAGAGACATTCAAGTTTTTCTTTGGCTAATGACTTTCTGGACTCTATATATACGATTAGAAGTGTAAGCCGATGAGTTGATCGGTGGTGGTGGCTCATCGTTTTCGATGACTCTTTTTAAAATTTTCTTGATTTCGAGAGATTTTGAAACGAAGAAGATAGAAATATTGGTAGAGAGCTCACTGACAAGAAACTAGACAAGTCATATAAAACGGAAAAAATGTGATTGCAACTTCTAATTTAAATCAGATTATTTCATCGTTGGTCAGTTTTGATCCAAGTGACTGTAAAATGCACTTTTTTTTAGTTTTAATTTATAAACTCAAATTTTTGAAGTTTTTCGAGGGTGTGAGGATGTAGGTGTGGGTATGGTGGTACTGGTCTTATCCACACCCACATTGTATTAGTCCAACAATCAGATAACATTATCGTTTTATCTATGTTAATGTATAAATTTTCGTCTAGATAACGATATTTCGCACGCATAACTTGGTTATTTCCAACAAACATAATGTCCAATAGAATTCCTCGAAAAATACTCATTTAGTGGACGCCAACTACACCACTTATTTCAGACACAAAAGCACTTTAATTCATATGATGGAGAGGCTTTACTGCAAATTGAAAGTAAACATTCTTGTGAAAAAGAAGTAGATTGACAAGATCTCAATTATCTTCAGGTTTAATAAATGAAATTTTATTGGATACTTTTTCTTCTTTTTGCATACTTTTTTAAAACATCTTAAGTTTAGAATGATAATAATCGTTATAGTTTTTGTTTAGTTTTGCTGAGAGGAGAGATGAAAGAATTCAAGGGAGAAAGTTTCGCGAAGCTAGAGAGAAACAATACTTTGCATACGTTTTTTACAGTAAACTATATTGTTAGTTAAAATTCGCAGACCGTACGATTACGGGAGAGAGAAACTGGGAACTTCTCCAGCCTTTCTCTCCCATCCCCATGTTTTTCTTCTGTGCTAGTGTTCTTCTAGGAAATTCTTGACAAGCACTTGGTTTTTATAATACTTTAGTCAACCCAATGAACTATGCAAAAGAAAACCATCTATTTTCTTTCATGAGAAACCGCTTTCAACTGCCAAATCATTTTTGAGTTCGGACTCTTTGTATAAGATGAATTGTACTGAATTATGAAATACCTCATGTGCAGAAATCCTCTTGGACCTTATGTTCAGACTTATAGGAGTTTTACTGCAACTTTTTCCTATGCCTGAAGGAAGTCCTTGAGGTTTCCATACCAGATCATTAACGGATTCGATCAGAATTCTTCCATAATTGCTATTTTTTCATGAGGAAACGACTAAATCTCTGATGAAGTGTATAGCCATGGAATTTCATGAACCTAACAGGGTTTGAAACACGATTCAATCAGAATCCTTACTGTTTAAGAAATTTTTGTCGACTGAGAGCCATTCAAAAAGAAATATATCATTGTGCATGTGAGTATGTGCCAATTCTATTTTAAATAATAGTCTAAAACACTGATACACTTTTCTGTTGGATTTTCGATACGATCCTTTTCTAGTTTAGCTACAACAGTTGACGGGATCTTCGGATTAGATTTGAGATCAGATTCGGTCTAAAACTTGAGTTAATTTTGAAATAAGCCTCTCTATTGTTTCTGTAAGAATCTTAAGCAGGATAATGATAAATTCTGGTATGATCCTGGGTTCATAACTTCTAGAAGCATCTAGATAGGAATCTGAATATATCCTGACCAGGATCCTGTGTAATCATGAGAAGCTGTGCAGATAGGAATTATCAGAAACTAAGACAGAATTCTGAGAAAAACTTGTCAAGATCCTTGGGATCCAGCATCCAAACAGATCCTTCTAGAATTTCTCAAGGATAGAAAAGAATTAGAACTAGGAGTCGTATGGTCTATACTGACAAACTGCATACTGATCTTTCGCCCTGAGGTTTAGTAAATAAATAAGTCTATCAGAAAGTAAACTGTTCTGCAGATTAAAGCTGAAAACAATGCGTTCATTCTGAGATATTAATACCTTAAAAAACAGCGTGTGGGTGTGGGTGTAGATATAGAACCAATGTTACACCCATACCCACAGCCCACATTCACAACCCATAATGGTGTTTGTATTAATTGGTTACTAAAGTGAGTACCTGTTGGCGTGGATGATGCATCATTATAAGTAAGTGTTATCGATTCGAAAGAAATTCTGATTGACATAACCAATGATATGGAACCAAGACAGAGACCCGTAGTTGTATTCGATGTTGCTTATCTCTATATCAGAAAGTAAGAGAAACAAAAATGTTTAAACCAGCCAAAGCACAGAAGAAAGCAATGTTGACAAGATGAACGTCCTTTCTCAAGATCAATGTGATCTTATTCATTTAAAGTAATGGAGGTTTCCTGTCATTTTTCAATCTATTTGTTGTTTCTATATTTCTCTTTTCATTGTCACTTTCACCAAGACCCGTAGCAAAAATCTCGACTTCCAGTGCAACATATGCTATCATAATGAAACAGAAATAAGTCAAATAAAAGAACATCATCTAGAGAGAAGGAAAAACGAGAGGTCAAAAAAAACATGCGAAGTTTCACAAACTCTGAATACATTAATTTGTTTTTCAGATAATCCTTTTGATGATTTGTGCGCTTTCCGGTTTCTTCTATGAATGCCAAATCTGAATCCTGCTGCGTTATGCATGTTTTTTTAAAATGAATGTGAAACATTACTTATCACAATGCGTGAAAGTAAATGATCTTCTCGTAGAAATTAAGGAATGCCTTGAAAAATATTATTTTCATTCATGCATTTTCTTGCATAGCTTTCCACTGAAAAGTAACTCACACAAGATGTTCTCTACTGACAAAGAAATTCTGTACAAGTGTTCCACAGTAAACTTAGAAGAAAATGTCACTTTTGTGTTTTAGCGTATGTTTTTTTGTTTGCAATTAGTTTACATACATGGGTTTTTATTTCCAAAATGTTTTTTTTTCAAGTTAAAATGCTACACAAAAATACCGTACAAACCTGTTTAATATTATGCATTACGATGCGTTTATTGATCATGCATCTAAGTGCAGTCTGTGAGTTCTTTGATTAAAAACGTGCATTTTTATAAATAAGCTTGAACACATCTTTTTTCAATGCGTTTTTCATGAAAAATGCTGTTTTTAATAAACATGTTTGAACACGCTTTTTAATGTATGTTTTTCTTTCAAACCAGGCA